AAAAAACAATCTACTAGTCAATAAGTTGTTTTTAAAACCAGACATTTACAGTTGAGTAGTAAAATGTTCACTTAATACAGTTAAGATTTGAATTTTTTAACCTGGTTTGACTTGACATTTTAACTTAAGGGATCTGAAGGTCTTTTGAAATGCAGGTCTAACTTTTGGTAATGCAAATCTGGCCTTAAAAAAATAAAATCTGTTTTAAAACTAGAAAATAATAAAACTAAAAATGCACCGTTAAAGTAGTGAAGACAAATTTGGTTACATGCAAATTACCTAGACGCCATTGAATTTTGTTTCAGTTACAAACATTTCTTATTCTTGGTTTTGATTCCAAACACTATGGTTTGATGGCAAGTGAACAGGAATAGACAGATCAAAGACATTATCACCATGTTTCATAAATTATTTTCTCTTGTTTCAGTTATGGTTGGTGAAGGGAGTGACTCTAACACATGAATAGGTTGCAAGTATAATTAGCCGTGTACTATAAAGCTGCAGATCTGATAAGCCGTGTTTATGACACAACACAAGATTGGCACTTAAATCCAAATATTCCAAGACAATTTCACTACAATATAAGAAATCAAAACTCAAACTATTTAAAATAATAACATGTAAAGTATGTTTTACAGATAGTTTACAAAATCAATTTCACCACAAGCAACATCCAAATTAATTTCACTAGCCAAAAAATAAACCAAGAAAGGATCTATAAACCAAAGGCAAAAGGTTATATTAATAAAAGGAGTTTTCATTGAATGGTCAGAGTTCAGCTAGGTTACCTGAGAAAATTAGAACCAGGGGAAAATATATAGGCCTACAGTGTTATGTCTTGTGACCCTGAAAAATCGCACATGTGAGCTAGCTGAACTAAGTCTAACCCTTTTTCTAAAATTTAAAAACCAACTAAATAAATATTCTAGTATTCACTACCCGTACTATTGTTTTAATAAGAAATAATACACTCTATCTTTCTTATAATTAATTCTAACCTTAGTTAAATTTGTATACATACTTTCAATAACTGTACCGGAAGGTTTTAAAACTAAAATATTTCAATTTACCTACACAACAGAACTAGTTTCCGGAGTGGACACTTGTCACACCGCGAGACAACCACGTACTGTGGCCCGAGTGGGCGCTCCTGGCACTTGGCCTACCTACTGTTTACATTCCTCTCCTACTCTATTGTTCATCACCTCACTGACAACATGTCTCAGCTCCGATTTCATATCTTTGTATCTTCTCTGTGTAACACGCCATTCACTTTTTGATTGGTTTTTGACGTGAATTACAAATCCCATGAATTGTACAGGAATTTTCCCAGATTGAAAATATTTTCAAACAATTTAATGGCCGAGTTAACACAGTTCAGTTTATTTCCAAACAAGATCAATATTAATAGTAGACAACCACTTTAAATATTTTCAAGCCACTAATGTGTTGCTTTTTCATTTTTAGTTTGATTAGAAAGAGTAATCATTATAATATATTGCATTTCAAAAGTAAAAGTTGTTTGCTTAGTTTTTTTACAAAAATCCAGCGTATGATTGAGGTTTAATTTGTGTCATGGGTTTTTTTGCGTAGTAATGTTTATTACAGTATGATTTGAACAATTTTACTAACAAAATAAAGTTATTGTATATTATAATTTATACACAAACTAAAGCCTGTCATCTGAAATGTGGTGTAATTTTACCACAATTAAAAAAAAACTCTCCTTGGCTTGTATTGTAGTGAAGTAAATTACAATTACACTTCACCACTATTTAAAAAGTGCATTTTTCACAAAATCCTTAAAAATATTTTCTATACAAACTTATGAATTGCGTAGAGAAAAGAATGTCCCTGCTAAACCCAACACAAGTGACAAATTATCGATTGATAATGAATGGGTGTAGTGGTAGATGCACGTTGGTGATAAGCTAGGAATGTAGGGGGAGATCAATCGACACAGGAGGTGGAGGGAGTAGCTGCCCACCTTACGTCTCAAATAGAACCACTTCCCTTCCCCTTCCTCCTCCCACTAGGTTGTGGGCGGACATCAGTATTTACAGCCTTCACAACACACGTTATAATTAGTTTCTATTCACACAAATTATAAACACTATTTTTGTAAGTTTTACCGTGTGCTCGGTTTTGATTGTAACGTTTTTCTTCAACAAAGATCTTTAATAGTTGCAGCATTGGTTAGGCCGGTTTGATATGTCTTTGCGCAAATTTTATAAAAGTGTATCTCAACTTTAGTCCTAGCAGACGTTTGAGCAATACGATAGGCGTTTTATTACAAAAAATAATACATGCTTGTAATACTTGTTTATGATTTACGAGATTTAAGCTTTTAATGTAGAAGAAGCTGAAGCTCAATAGAATTAGTCAACCTGGAACTTGTAGGCCTAGCCGTGATGAAAAGACCCCCTATACATTTGTTAATAAATTTAAGAAGTGTATGAAATCAATACCATGCCTCTGACTTAAGACTAAGTCTCTACTACTAAATAAGAACAGGTACTCAATTAGTTAAAGAATAAACTGTAACAAGCAAAGTAAATTGAATACACTCTGTACCCAAGCAGAAGCAAGCAAAAGTTTGGGAGTTAATTTTAACACAAGCAAAATTTTAATAAAATGAGCTGTGACAGCAGAAATAATTATCAGGTTTAAGCGGTATAGCTTCAAGAAAATCAATTACTGAAAAACCATCCATTCCATGTTTTCATCACATTTATTATCAGAATAATTTTAAACAAGTTCAGTTTACGTGTAGTCCAGGGCCGGCTTGAGGGTGTTCGACGTATGCAGCCGCACAATCAAGCCTTTTGGAGGGGCATAAAACTGACCATTCTTGGTAATTTTTTTTTATTGGCAAATTCATAGAAATTGATTTAAATATTGGACAGCAATATTTAAAATAGGAACATTGTCTCAAAACTGTTACAGTTCAATTAAAATTAAAACCAAAGATCTATCCCCCCCTCCCTTAGCGAATTCTGAAAAACAGTAGCCTGATGCCCTTGACTAACGTCCAAGGTCAGTAGAGCAGCCGTCTACGTCTGAGTGGCGGGTCGCAGAAAGGGTTGTGGTTGTGACATATTTCTACCTCCTCTTCCACGGGGGTTTTCTACTTCTAGCCAGTTAACCACCGATATTTTATTTCGCCGATGTTTTTATTTCACCCATGAGATATGCCATTTATTAGTCTGGCGTGAGAGTACTTGCAATATAAGTGTAGAATCATTGTAAAGTGACTACGAAGCTTAACATCATAATAGTGGTTTAAGGTACAAAAGAGTATATAACCTAACAAGTCAATCAATATTAAATCAAATTGAGAGACAAAGATTTAATGTTCTAAAAGAGGCTCAAAAGTGCACAAATACTATGTTTTTAGACCTTATATTCCAACATTTTGGGGGCATGATATGTAAGTCTTGCACACTTGCAATTTTTTTCTTAGGCCGGCCCTGGTGTAGGCTGGTCACAGCATAACTGCTTGATCAATTGTCATCTGATGTAGGAAATTATTCGCAGTGGTAAATTTTATTTGTGTGATTCTAGTGTAAATAATCCTTGGATAGGACCAGAATTTCCAACCAGAATCAACTTTTTGACCAAGCTAAGATGAAAGAACAACTTATTGTAAACCCAAAACTAGACTATAGTATATGTTATAGAAAACTAAAAGGAAATGTAAATTTATACTGTAGCACACTTTGTGTGTAACTTGCTCAACTGTGTTAAATTTTTTTTACTTCCTCCCCCTATACATAGATTAGGCCTATAGAGAAAGTAGTGTTTTTGTCAACATTTTTGGGTTTGAGTTTTGAATGTATAAGTCCTATTTGGGTCTCTCTGGACGCAAAAAAGTGGTTTTCGAAGTGATGTCTGTCTGTATGTGTGGGTGTATACAGAATTACAGATTTTCACTTGTGGTCCAATTTTGATGAAATTTGGTATGTAGGTACGCCTACTAATTCGGTATATCTAGGCATTTTTTTCAAAAATTTCGGTTTGAAAGTTATTGTAACATATGTTATTTTCCTATAAAAACCCATATAAAAACAGAAAAATGATTTTTCCAACAAAAAAAAACTATTATGATTGTTATTTTTCTGTTATGGTCCTTAACATTCTTAACAAAATAGTCCAACCCATCCTGTAAAAATTACAGTTAAATAATTAATGCAACTTTCGTGATTTTACCTATTAAATATCATAGTTAAGTTAGTTAGTTGATCTCATTGCTTACCCATGATAAAGGTTGTTCGCAAGCTAATGGGAGAAAGTATGTGACAAATTGCTGGAATATTGTTTATTTAAATTGGACAGAGGTGGTCCTTATAGATGGAAAGTCTATCTTCAGAATAAAGTCGATAAAGTAATGTTCAAATTTCATTAAACTAATTTGTAACAACCTTTTACAGATTAAGTACCGGTATAGAATAATGTTATAGTATTTTATTTAGTATTTAATACTAACCTGTAAATATGCAAACAGGGTTTTACCGGGGTTTTATGGGGTAAAAATTGTTCTTTCTCATTTTTGACCTTTAAAACACCAAATTTTCCCATTTCTATCTAGACCTTTTTTTAAGGCTTAAAAAACCAAATAATTTAGTAAATCAAAGTGTTTTAGTAGGTAACGTTATTGGTATCGGAGAAAATTTTAAAAGTTGTAAATTTAAGATTCTTATGTTATTTTTATTGAGAATATTGTAAAATGTTGTAGTTTGCTTGTTTATGGATATATTTTACTCAAACTAGGCAAATTTTCTATTTTAAACTAAGCTATTGATATTTTACTAAAATCCACACTTTATTAGTTTCCTTGTAGCAGCAAACCTAAGTACTCGTTAAACCTAATGTTAGTTAAATAGATTTAGGTAAAAACCAATTCAGACAAATGGAAATTTGCTTAGTCGGCAGGTTTACTGCAGCAGTGGTATTTTTAATATTATTATTATTTATCAATAACAAGTACGATTTTTACTGACTAGTTTGATGCACTCGGTAACGACACTGTCAGGAACTGCAGGAAACTTCTGTTTGAGTTCATGGAAGAGTTGCATTATGGAAATGTTGGAACAAGGGCACTCGGCCATCTCAGCCCACCACCCTCATACTGCCTGCAACAAATACACAACTCTGTCATTGTCTGGCTAATCTTGTAACAAATACACGGCTCTGTCATAGTCTGGCTAATCTTGCAACAAATACACAACTCTGCAATAGTCTGGCTAATCTTGCAACAAATACACAACTCTGCTAGAGTCTGGCTAATCTTGCAACAAATACACAACTCTGCTAGAGTCTGGCTAATCTTGCAACAAATACACAACTCTGCAATAGTCTGGCTAATCTTGCAACAAATACACAACTCTGCTAGAGTCTGGCTAATCTTGCAACAAATACACAACTCTGCAACAGTCTGGTTAATCTTGTATCTTGTAGTTATGATACGTGATAGGGAGACTATTGTCTGGCTAATTTAGCCACAAATACACAATTATTCTGGAATTGTCTGGCTATTTTAGTGACGAATACACAATCCTACAATTACTCATCTATCATTGAATAATTCTTAAATTATCCTATACTGATCTAAATATTGCACATATACATGATCCTACAATACAAATGCATAGTTATACAATAATCCATCTAGTTTTGCAATAAATACAAAGGAATCTAGCATATGAGTATGGTCGATATTCTGTTAAAAATATTAGTCTTTGGATGGTTAAAATTAAATTTAAGCTTAACTTTAAATTAACCTGAAATATTTGAACAAACAACAATATTGTTCAAAATATTTCAACAACATTTTTCTTCACGTGTTTGTTTACTATTCAAAAACATACCACTAAACACAGATTCCCAAAAATAACAAAAATTTTAATGCAATATGTTTTTACTATATTTAAAATTTATAATCAATTTTTACCTGTCACTCTTTTCTAGCACATCAAAGACAACGTTTACAAATTAGGCACACAAGTGACCAGAAAATCAATGACTCAGCTTCATCTGACCTTGAGGGATTATAGACTGCCACCCGCCTCATACGAGTCAAACAGTTCTCTAGATCTCAGAGGAATTGCCTTAGCTAAACTAACGGCAAACCAATAAAATCCAGTAGAAGTAGCCAAACATATTTAGACAATTATTTTCAGATTAAGAAGATATGCCACTGGCATTAGACAGGACTTCTATAATCACGCCATTAAAAAAAAGAAAAATATTGTAATATTAAATAACTGACAAAAACTTCCCAGACAGCACACTTTATCCCAGGGACATCCCATAGTAGTCCCATATGTCCTGAGAATGTCTCGGGATATGTGCGCTATCCTCAGGATATCCCGCAAAATCCCGGGACGAGTACGAAATCCACAGGATATCCTACAATATACCATAATGTCCCGGGATTTGTAAGTTAACCTCAGGATATCCTGTAAAGTCCCGGGACATGTAAAAAATCCACTGGATATCCTGTGTAATGTCCCGTAATGTCCCGGTAACAAACTGAAGACAAAAATTCTACCACTGATGAAATGTACAGTATATCTAAATTTAAATGTTCAACAAGGCCAATATATAATAATTTGTTTTTTTCACTAGTGCTTTCAGGAACTTGGTTTCCATCTTCAGGCTGTGTTTACACTAGTACAGAAAGTAAATATTTACTTAATAAATTAATTTTAAACAAAGTTAAAACAGATGATTTAAAGGATATTGGAAAAATAAAAAATAATATTAGAAAAATTAATCCTTTGAATTTTGGATATGTTACAGTGTTGTTCTTGATGTAATTATTTTCAGTAATTCCGAATTTATAATTGGGCCGTCTTCATTATTTAACAAATAATTTTGGTCTGTTTTTTTTCTAAAAATAAGATTCCCACGCATTAAGATGTTGAGGTTTTATAATTTATTTTAAAAGTTTAAGGTTTCCCAGATTGAAAATATGTCTTGTTAATACTATGGCTAGCAAGGGTTGACTTTACTTTACTGACATATTACTACCACTGAGTTCAGGAAAACTAGAGTTCTATCATAGTTGTGTGAAATGTGAATTTAATTCTAACTTTAAATTAATAAAACAACAAAAAACTAATTTTAATCATATAACAACCAATTATTACAGTGCTAATCTAATGGTGATTAAATAATCTATATTCAAATACCAGTATCCTCTCCAACTACCAGAAAAAAAATTCAACTACTTGAGGCCTAAACAGAATCATAATAGCCTATACTGTAGTATCAAAAATATTTTAAGTATTGCGACCATTGCAACTGTCGGCTACTCTTTAACCACTTGAAAACACCCATAATCAACAAGCGCAGATAGCTCAGGAGGTAAGGTAAGAGGCTCACAAGGCGAAGGTACCAGGTTCAAAACCCGTCTGGGCCAAAAACTTTTTTCTTGTTTTTTTCTTCAAAATTTGTGTTTATTGACTATTTAATCAATTTACTAAACTTATAATTAAGCTTTTCATACTAAATCTATATTATTTTGTGTTTTTTATGTTCAGGCCCAGACCACACTTTATCCTAGGGACATCCCATAGTAGTCCCATATGTCCTGAGAATGTCCTGAGGACTACCCTGGGATGACCTCGGATGTCCCACGGATATGCATGTGAGCTTATCCGTAGGACATCCCCGGGCGGGGACATTACGCATTCCTGTGGATATCCTGTGATATCCCAAGTTGACCATAGGACCACTATGGGATATCTTGCATATCCTGTCGCAATATCCGTGGGATGTCCTGAGGAGAAAGTGTGCTGTATGGGTTATGACTGTATCAATTTGTTATCTGTTTTTGTAACAAACTTCGAAAATCACACATCCATTCAACTATAAAAGAGGTAAATTTTAATCATCTTATTCAGGTTTTAAAAGCAGTCATATTAAGAGAAAGGGGTTTTGAAGCAATAAATTATGGTTAAACTTTTTAAGTTAATTTGTTTACGTTCCTGGCTTTGGTTTGTAGAAATTTAAGTAAATCTAAATCATTCATAAAATTTTACTCTCTGTGATGCTAAGTTAATTTTTCGGTTTGTTGTAATTGCGCTTTTATGTTGCTGGTACAAATCACAAATTTAAAACTTAGTACAAACAATTATTAATATTTTCTTGAAATGCTTTTATTTCATATTTTTCCAGATGTATTAATCAATAGCTTACCCTTTAGAATACAACACTATTGTAAAATATGTCCTAACCAACAATTAAAAAGATGGGAAATCTACTCAATACAACACACCAAACTGTAAAAAGCACTAACTTATAATTGAAAATTTTCATCAATCAAGTGGTCTATTCTCCACTATTGTACAGACCAAGATATCTTTCATCGCACAGATTGTTGGCGAGTGGTACTGCCAAAACTAACACACCAAGAGAATAATAACACACATTATGAGTGACATTAGTGGACTCTGCGTCATTACCTTGGTAAAGGTTTATGAAATGAAGCGACAAAAGCAGCTAAGACTACAAGGTGGTCTCAATCTTGCACCCACACTCTGCTGCCTCAACAAGTTAGTGTTACTCTTCACAAGCACTCTGTTGCATCTACAAGTTTGTGTTGACCTTCACAAGCACTCTGTTGTATCTACAAGTCTGTGTTGATCTTAACAAGCACTCTGTTGCATCTACAAGTTTGTGTTGACCTTCACAAGCACTCTGTTGCATCTACAAGTCTGTGTTACTCTTCACAAGCACTCTGTTGCATCTACAAGTTTGTGTTGACCTTCACAACACTCTGTTGTACCTACAAGTCTGTGTTACTCTTCACAAGCACTCTGTTGTATCTACAAGTCTGTGTTGACCTTAACAAGCACTCTGTTGCATCTACAAGTTTGTGTTGACCTTTACAAGTACTCTGTTGCATCTAAAAGTCTGTGTTGACCTTAACAAGCACTCTGTTGCATCTACAAGTCTGTGTTGACCTTTACAAGCACTCTGTTGCATCTACAAGTCTGTGTTGACCTTTACAAGTACTCTGTTGCATCTAAAAGTCTGTGTTGACCTTAACAAGCACTCTGTTGCATCTAAAAGTCTGTGTTGACCTTAACAAGCACTCTGTTGCATCTACAAGTCGGTGTTGACCTTAACAAGCACTCTGTTGCATCTACAAGTCAGAGTTGACCTTAACAAGCACTCTGTTGCATCTACAAGTCTGTGTTGACCTTTACAAGTACTCTGTTGCATCTAAAGGTCTGGCTAATCTTGCAACAAATACACAGCTCTGTCATTGTCTGGCTAATCTTGCAACAAATACACAGCTCTGCAACAGTCTGGCTAATCTTGCAATAAATACACAACTCTGCAATAGTCTGACTAATCTTGCAACAAATACACAACTCTGCAATAGTCTGGCTAATCTTGCAACAAATACACAACTCTGCAACAGTCTGGCTAATCTTGCAACAAATACACAACTCTGCAACAGTCTGGCTAATCGTGCAACAAATACACAACTCTGCAACTGTCTGGCTAATCTTGCAACAAATACACAACTCTGCAACAGTCTGGCTAATCTTGCAACAAATACACAGCTCTGTCATTGTCTGGCTAATCTTGCAACAAATACACAGCTCTGCAACAGTCTGGCTAATCTTGCAATAAATACACAACTCTGCAATAGTCTGGCTAATCTTGCAACAAATACACAACTCTGCAATAGTCTGGCTAATCTTGCAACAAATACACAACTCTGCAACAGTCTGGCTAATCTTGCAACAAATACACAACTCTGCAACAGTCTGGCTAATCCTGCAACAAATACACAACTCTGCAACAGTCTGGCTAATCTTGCAACAAATACACAACTCTGCAACAGTCTGGCTAATCTTGCAACAAATACACAGCTCTGTCATTGTCTGGCTAATCTTGCAACAAATACACAGCTCTGCAACAGTCTGGCTAATCTTGCAATAAATACACAACTCTGCAATAGTCTGGCTAATCTTGCAACAAATACACAACTCTGCAATAGTCTGGCTAATCTTGCAACAAATACACAACTCTGCAACAGTCTGGCTAATCTTGCAACAAATACACAACTCTGCAATAGTCTGGCTAATCTTGCAACAAATACACAACTCTGCAA